GTTATTCCAAAAATAGTTCCAATGAACTCTGTGGAATAAGGTACCCTTCAACATGAATATGAGTATAAGCATGTAAACAAATTCATCACAGGGCAAAAGGTGGCAGGGCTCTACCACACATCATGTGTTCTGACGTAAATGCCTGTGTATACATTCTTACTTTGTGGCAAGTGGTAACCTGGCTTTCAGTGAAAAAGATCCAAGTTAAAATCAACACAAAGAAGAAATAGTGGGAGGAGCAGGGGGTGGTAAAAAAAATAAGCATCTGGTGATACGATATGACAAAAGGAAAAGGTTGGCTTTAATGCTGTACCAACAGCCAATTTTTCAATCTAAATTTTAAAAGAACCCATATGCTCTTATCCCATCAGCAGCAGTTTGGAAAGGAGATGGGTGGTACTCAAGTTGCCTATTATTTTTTTCACAGAAATAGCTGCCACATTTATTCAGTCTTTTGGAAACAATCCATGGGAGTTTGCAAAATGTTACAATTTATTGCTACTAAGGCCACAGTAACATAGCTTTTCTTTTGCAATTCATCAAGGATATTAAAAAGAGAGCATATGCCATACAAAGGTTATTGCAAAATCAAGTCCAACCAACAGTCAGAGAAGACATTAAATGCTATTCATTTTAGTTTTGTGACAGTCAAGCTTTAAATTGGTCTTCCAAACCCCCTTGCATAATTAAATGTCTGTAAGTCATACTGTTACCAACATTAAACAACATAGCACATATACACTTGGTAGACGCCTAAAGTCCAGAGTTTGACTGCCTCCCAGATTTAGGACTGAAAATGTCAAACTGACCCTGCTTTGGCAACAATAAGAGAAAGCCTGGTTGTATCAAAATCTGCCTCCAATCAAACTTTATTTCCATTAAGAAATCTGCCATTTTGTAATCTCAAAGTAATATTTGTATTTGCAATCAGTAAAAAGTACAAATTGTCCCTAATTTTATTTATCATGCTAGAATTTTGAATTGTAAAGTGAGTGAGGCTCATATACTGTAATAGGGACAACTGAAAAATCAGTGTAAATGTTTTGCCTTCACTAAATTAAGTAAGAAAATAAGGTATTTGAACAAATACTAAATTCTCTCAGTTTAGTTGTTTCCCATGTTTTAGTCTCTCTGAAAAAGCTAAAATAAAACTGCTTTTTGATTTTGAAAGTTAGAAAATTATTACTGGCTCAATATCATTGTCAACTTTGCAATATGTGGGATAAGACTTTGAAAATTTGCAATGGAGGACTTAGCAGAAACTCCTAAAATGCATATTCTTCTTTCCTCTCATTTACTGATCTAATATACGAGTTATAAATAGAGGGTGGAGTGTAGTAAGTCTGCCCAGGCCATCTGACCAGGCAACAAGCCCCCCTCCCCCCCGCAATTTTTTTTTTCTCCCCATATACTAACTTTAATAAGCAGTGAAATCCCACCATTCTTTTGTAGATTAAAAATACTATCACAAACACGAGTTCATCTCCATCAAGAAATGTTGGTATTACCTGGATCTTTCTAAGGACTACTATATTATAGATATGATTTTGCAGCTTTGAAAAAGTAATCATTGTTTTTTATGTTGATAGGTGACCTGTTTTCCTTAGATGTTCCCATTTTTTTTATTAAAAATGATTTCACAAAAGCTGTTCCAAAATGGTCCATGTAGTTGCTAAAAGCAGGCTGTCAGCAGACTATATAGTCACAATGTTTAATTCTTGCTGTAAAGGTTAGTTTTCATTCAGGCTAGGGACAGATATTACACATAAACCCATTTAAGTAATCAGAAACTGGTTTAAATCTGTTACAGAACAGATATTCAGTGCACATAAGCCAGTTTGAAAATGGCTAAAACCAGTTTGAGATAAACCTGGTTGAATGTAGTATCAGACTTAACTGATTTGGGTCAAACCGTTTTATGCAATGTCTGTTCCAGACTTCTTGCTGGTTTAAGATAAATCAGACTCCCCCAGCATCCTGGTATACTCTCTGGGCTAGGCGGGGCTCTCTGCTCCACAGCAGGGCTGGCCCCTCCACTCTGCTCCTTGACTGAAGCTCCTGCAAGACTGCAGGCTGTTCCCCACCCTCTGCCTCACCACTCCCTGCTAAGCAGGAATTCCACCCCCACCCTTCTGCCTTGCAAAGAGTTGTCTGTGTATTAGTCAATAGACCACATGCTGGCTATGGTCCCGCTGAATCAACAGGCAGATCAACAGTAGCTGGTAATGTCCTTCTGTTGTTTTGTTAACGGGGTGATAAACACTGTTATCAATTCCCTGCTGGACTAATCAGAGCATCCTGCTTGGACCTGGCCATGGACCCTGTGGCAAGGTGGGACTCCCCAACTAGCCACAGTGCTAGCTGCCCCACCTGCCTTTGGGCACTCCACCCACCTGTTTCGTCTGCCATGCCTTGTTGTTAATTAAGTTGTTAAGTAAGGCGGGAGGCTGCCCATTCTTGCCCTGATGCCAGGGGGCGCTATCTGCAGCTCCATTCTTCCCCTACACTGCAGCCCACGCCTCGCAGATGGCATCCAGATGACAATGCTCCCAGGTTACAGCTGGACCAAGCTTAGGCCTCATTGTCAGGCCGCAGACACGTGTTCATACCGCCCTCCTCTCACTAGGGCCTCTCTCACTCCACCCCTTCTCACAGGGTCTCTTTCACGCCTCGACAACTTGTACTGCCTTGCTCCCTCTTGGAGCCGGCCCCTTAGGCCATAGGCTTTAGCTAGCTCATACCTTGGGTGGCAGATGTACCATCTTTTGGGTCTCTCCTGCAACCCTCACTGGGGTAGTAGGCAGCCAATTACCTGACCGGGTCTAAGCTTGTCCTGGCCCCTTCCCAGGGCAACTCTGTACACTCAGACAATACTGGGCTCCCAGCCCTCTGGTTTTCCCCTCACTGTGGTTCCACATCTCCGCCCCCTCACTGGGGCCATCCCCTCACTGGGGGTCTTCATTTCTGCCCCCTCAATAGGGCTATGGGGCTTCCCTCCCCTGTGGGGCTCAGGTGGCAGCAGCTGTGCTCCAGGGTCTCATGAGGACTCTTACTTGTCCCCATGAGCAGCAGGTCATTGTGCTCTACTCTGGCTCTTACTTTCGACCAACACTTGGCCTCCCAGCAGTGGAGGACTTACTGGGGTCAGGACTCGCCCCTCTCTCTTGGACTGAGCTCCCGCTTACTCAGTCTCTGCCCCGAACTGCAGCCTCAGGTGCCTGAAGACATACCTTGGTCTCCCCTCACTGGGGCTCCTCATCTCTGCCCCCTCACTGGGGCTCCACACCGCCTCCTTACTGGGGCCACAGGGCTTCTCTCCCCGGTGGGCTCAGGTGGCCATAGCCATGCCTGGCCCCAACTACCTTTCCTCAGGGTCCTACAACCCACAGGGTTCAGGTGGCTGTAGCCATACCTGGCTCCCACTCTTGCTTCTCAGGGTCTTACACCCCACAGGGCTCAGGTGGCCACAGCCGTGCCTGGCCCCAGCTACCTCTAATGTTACATGACCCACCTGAAGGTGGGGGCTGGGTTTAAGGCACCCTACCTGCCTTTAACTGGGTTGGTAACTGGCCTGGCATCCCCTGGGGGTTCCCGCACTACTGAGAGCCCCACCAGGCCACCCACTCCTGGCAGTGTGCAGTTTTAGGTCATGCCCAGGACCAGGAGCCTCCAAACCATTCCCTACAGCTCCTGCTCTTACCTCCAGGGTACTTGATATTCAGCCTTGCAGCCAGACGATGTTGCTGCCCGCAGCAAACTGCTCTCTTTATATAGGTAGCCAGAGGTCTAAAATGGCTACCGCAATCAAGCACCTGCTGGCTGCTTGGCTCTGCTCTTAAAGTGTCAGGAACCAACAGTGCCCTGCCACATACCTTTCCCCTTAAAACAGTTCCTGGGGGAGGTTTCCCCTGCTGCTCCTCCCAAAGCAGTTTCCCCTCAGAGCCTGTGAAAGCCCTCAAGTGGCAAGCACCCCCAAAGGTGCTCTGCCACACACCCCCAACAGCTCAGTTCTGTGCAAAGGAAGGGAGGGCTGCTCTAGCACTTCAGCTTCAAGCCTGAGCCACTGTAGGCATGTGCTGGCATTTCTGGGATATCTGTGCAGTTACAAAGTGACTCAGCCTAGCCAGGTTAGATTAACCTGCAAAGATTGAATCAATTCAGGCTCAGGCTTTTTGTATGTCTGTTCCTAGCCTCAAAGAGTATCTATGATCAGGCTGGTATTTTACAATGAAATAATACACAGGGAGGTTACTGAATCCCCATCATTGGAAGTCTTAAGAGCAGGTTAGATAAATATCTGCCAAAAATGCTTTAGGTACAATTAATCCTGCCTTGAGGCAGAAAGAAGAACTAAATGGTCCCTTGAGGACCTTTTAATTCCTATTTTCTGTGCTTCTAGAAATCCGATACCTAATCTAACCAGATCAGCCAAAAAAGCCTCATTTCTACTTTTCCTCACCACACTGATGTTTTACTACCTACATTACCACAGACATTGTCAAAATAGTTTTCTTAAATTCCTACCTCTGTCTGCTTCTAAACATCAACATTACAGTGACTTTCCAGATCCTCAAATATGCCAAGGGATGACAACAAGCAAGCATCCAATGCCCAAAAGTACAAACTCCAGGAATATGATGACCCAAAATACATTTTTTCCAGAATCCTTCTCTATGGCTTTTATCAACAGATGCTGTAGTCCCTATTTATTAAAATTTCAGCTGTCTGGATTCATACATAACAAGACAACAAGAACTGTTCATATATTTTTTCAGTAAGGAAAGCAAAGCTTTAATTAGTTGTACAGACTAGCTTTTGAGAAGAAAAAGAATTCAAGATGACAAACCTGAATTTGTGAAAGCTTTTTGCAGTTCATGATGTAAATAAACCATGCTACCTATTTTCTACCACATAAACTGTTACAATGTACAGTACCATATATTCCTACCCTTCTTTAAATTAAAAAGAAATAAGTAAAGATAATAAAATGTATTCCTTACTTTCTGCGGAACATCTCTGCAAATATGCAACCAACACTCCAGAGATCAACAGGTGTTGCATAGCTGGACTGCAGCAAAACTTCGGGAGCTCTATACCACAAAGTGACAACCTGTAAAATAAATAGGAACAGATTAAGAGAAATGTTACTTGTAGAACTATCAGCTCTTAAGTGTGATTGCCCAGTGACTCAGAATTCCTGCTTTGTCAGATCGACAGAATTCTGCAAACTTGGGATGGTTGGTCAATGCTTTGATGAAAATGCCTCTATGGACAATCTAGGTGCTGCCAGATGTGCAACTGATTAGTACAGACTGTGCAAGCATCTCAACAACAAATACAAAATTGAAAGCCAACCCTCACCCCTCAGTTTATGCCCATTAAATCTGCCGTGTTATATTCTGAAAAGAAGGAATATTAACCACGGTGTGCTGGCCAATTTCTAACCTTGGCAAATATAATTTACTTAGCTACAATTTCTTTCTATATCTTTAGCAACAAAAAATATTATTCAGGAACAACTTCTTAACTGGTAAAAATATCACAGCTCCATTAAAGTCAAAACCTCATGGGGCTGCCCCTTGCCTTATGGCTAAAAGGCACATCTCTGGAGGGGTGTAAATTTAAATTTTGGGTAACAGAGTATCAAGCGGTTACCTTCTTGCACAGATCGCCTATGGGAAAGCTCTCTCAACATGGGCTGCAGCAGCAGCACAGGCTTCCAGAGGCTGCCATTCTGATACCCACTTTGAACTGGCACTCGGGGCTCGCACCCCAGTCTCCCCCCTCCCCAACCCAAATTATCCTACTGCAGCTGTCCTAGGGACACAAAGCACTGCCGCTGTGCCCTCAAATACCCCAGTATAGTCCCACTGTGCCAGTATAGACAAAGATACAGCTGTTGATGACTATATAAATGAAAGATGATATATGTCCTAAGATTCGACTATGAGCCTTTCAGCATGTTTGTCAAGGGTTGTATGGAGGCACAAGATGCCCTTACACATGAGCCACTACATTGCTAGAATATAATATCAGAATCACAGTTTTGTTCTTACCCTGCTCTGTATACAGTTACAATCCAGCCATAAAAAAGGAGGATCTTAAGCAGAAAATACTGTATTGATAATGTGATCTGGTTTTTAATCTCAATCAATGTTATAAAAGGTCTAATAAATTACTGCTTTTGTTCTGGGATACACAAACACAAATGTGAATGCTGGGAGATTCAACATTTTCTGGGTTCTTGAAATTGAAAGTGAAGATATACAGAACACTGCAAAATAAAGGATGAAAGTAGCTTTAAAATACATGTTAATTAAAGTAGGAGACCCTGAATTTAAGAACCAGTATTAGAAGTTTATGACAAAAGTGGGTTTTTTAATTGCAATAATATAATTCCCTTCAATGCAGAAATAATCAGCCAAATTTGTTGGTCACAGACAGCTGAAACAAAAGCAAATACAATATTTTTACAATCATTACTTGTCCTGACAGCTTCTGGAGACACTGAATGGCTCAGCAACCCCGCTCTCCCCAAGACAAAACGCAAAGTGTTTGTCATGGGAGACTTCATCCTGAGGGGAACTGAGGAGGTAGTTTGCCACCCCAACCCCCTTAGCCCAGGAAGTTTGCTGCTTCCTGGGAGCCTGTATCCGAGACATTGTGGAGAAGATCCCTAAACTCCTCCAGCCCACTGACCACTACCCTATGCTCCTCATCGATGTGGGCACCAATGACACAGCTTGGAGCACTCCCAGCTGGGTCATGAGGCGCTACAGAGATTTGGGAGCTGGGCTAAAGGGTCTGGGGGCACAGGTGGTGTTTTCTTTGATCCTCCCAGTTTCGGGCTATGGGCTGAGGAGGGAGAGGAGAACTGAGGTAGTGAACCAAAGACTGCAGCACTGGTGTCATTGGGAAGGCTTTGGCTTCCACGACCACAGCCCGCTCTTTGGTGAGAGAGGCAATGAGCTGTTGGGAAGGGATGGCCTCCATTTCTCTCTGCTGGGGAGGAGGCTCTTTTCAGCCAGACTGGCTGACCTGCTCCACCGGGCTTTAAACTAAGCCCGCTGGGGGATGTGGGGACTACTGCCACTGCTGGCCCACTGAGCAACCCTTGAAAAGCCAGCAGGCCAAGGCATTTCATAGGTTTCATAGGCATTAGGGCTGGAAAGGACCTTTGAAGATCATCGAGTCCAGTCCCCCACCTGAAGGGCAGGAAGTCAGCTGGGGTCATAGGATCTCAGCAAGATAAGCATCCAATTTACTCTTGAAGGTGTTCAATGTAGGTGCTTGAACCACCTCCAACGGCAGGCTGTTCCAGACCTTGGAGGCTCAGACAGTAAAGAAATTCTTCCTTCTGTCTAGCCTGAAACGGTTTTGCAGTAGTTTATAACTGTTCAACCTCGTCATCCCTTGGGGTGCTCTGGTGAACAAGCGTTCCCCCAGATACTGGTGGTCACCCCTGATAAACTTATAGGTGGCCATTAAAGCGATCCCACCCCTGCCCCAGCCCTGGAACAAACAATAGGCAAGGCCGGGGTCCCCAAGGGGATACTTGCCTGCCTATACACAAATGCCAGGACCTTGGGAAACAAACAGGAGGAACTTCTCCTCCTGCTAAATACAAATAACTATGATGTCATAGGGATAACAGAGACCTGGTGGGACTCCACCCACGACTGGGCCACAGGTATAGAGGGATATACCCTGTATGGGAGGGATCAAGTGGACAGTGGGGGCGGGGGTGTAGCTCTCTATGTCAAGGAAAGCTACGCATTCCTGCAAGCCAACATTGGCACCCATGGTGGAAGACTTGAGACCCGCTGGGTTAAAATCTGTGGGGAACACGGCACAGGGAATACTATGGTGGGAGTCTGGTACAGACCCCCTACCCAAGGTAAAGACCTTTACCAGGAGTTTGCCAGGGAATTGGCTGAGGGTAGGACTTGCTTGACCAATCTCATTTCCTTTTGCGACCAGGTGACCCATCACCTGGACAAAGGGAAAGAGATTGATGTCGTATATCTTGACTTTAAAAAAGCCTTTGATCTGGTATCCCATGATCACCTCTTGGCAAAACTGGCTAACTGTGGCCTTGACCTCACCACGATCCACTGGCTGGGGAACTGGCTCCATAGTAGGACCCAGAGTGTGGTGGCTGACAGAAGTCAGTCATCATGGTGACCAGTGGGGTCCCTCAAGGCTCTGTCCTTGGGGCAACACTATTCAACATCTTCATTAATGATGTGGACATTGGTATCAGAAGTGGACTGGCCAAGTTCGCCCACGACACCAAACTGGGGTAAAGCGTCCACACCTGAGGACAGGAGAGTGATCCAGGCAGATCTTGACAGGCTCATGAACTGGACAGATGAGAACCTGATGGTGTTTAACACTGAAAAATGCAAGGTTCTCCACCTTGGGAGGAAAAACCTGCAGCATCCTTATAGGCTCAGCAGTGCTACGCTGGTTAGCACTACAGATGAAAGGGACTTGGGGGTCATGATTGACCACAAGATGAACATGAGCCTTCAATGTGATGCTGCAGCTAGTAAAGCAAGCAAAACGCTGGCTTGCATCCATAGATGCTTCTCAAGCAAATCCTGGGACGTCATTCTCTCGTTGTACTTGGCCTTGGTGAGGCCGCAGCTGGAGTACTGCTTTCAGTTTGGGGCTCCACAATTCAAAAGGGATGTGGAGAAGCTTGTGAGGGTGCAGAGGAGAGCTACGTGCATGATCAGAGGCCAGGAAAACAGACCTTATGATGAAAGGCTGAGAGCCATGGGACTCTTCAGCCTGGAAAAGCTCAGGCTCAGGGGTGATCTGGTGGCCATCTACAAGTATATCAGGGGTGTTCACCAGGATCTGGGGGAACGTCTGTTCACCACAGTGCCCCAAGGGATGACAAAATCGAATGGTCACAAACTCCACCGCGACCAATTCAGGCTGGACATAAGGAAGAACTTCTTTACTGTCTAAACCCCCAAGGTTTGGAATAGACTGCCACTGGAGGTGGTTCAAGCACCCACTTTGAATGCCTTCAAGACACATTTGTTTATCTTGTTGGGATCCTATGATCCCTGCTGACTTCCTGCTCCTGGGGCAGGGGGCTGGACTCGATGATCCTTCGGGGTCCCTTCCAGCCCTAATATCTATGAAATCTATGATAGAAGAGGGAAGTTCACACATATATACACAGGTGGTCATATTTACTAACTGTCCTTTTAAAAGCTTTGATCTTTATTCATAAAAGCTGGTTTTCAAACAGTTCGATAAACTTAGGGCAAAATAAAGCTGACCACTTTAGCCTTCAAGATCCATGCCCATATAACCAGCTCAGCAAAAAGGCAAAGTTTAATGCCATTCACTTACTCTAGTTGATATCAAATTAGTGATGCTTTCCTAACACGTCTCTACCTTCAAGAGAAGATGCATCTTCTTAGAGGTTTGTCTCCAGTGAAGAAGGAGACTTAATTTGAGGTTAGGGAATCACTGGTGGATGCTACTCTGGGAACATGCTAAATCAGGTTGGACTTCTTTGTTAATTTTTATTTGCTGATGTAGTTCTTGATAATTTGATCTGGCCATATAGTTTCTCATGGCTTTGTGGAGAAACCCACTGAACTGGAAAAAATTCTTTCGAAAAAGAGAAGGTTTTAGGGTTAAGAACTTCCAGACATTCTTGTCCTTCAGTGGTGGGGCAGCTGCCTCACAAAGAGGAAGAAATAGTGTGATCTGCAGGAAAAATGGGACCAAATCTCACAGATTCTTAACTTGGATCCACTATGCTCTCCTCTCATAGAAAAAAAAAAGGTGGTTCACATTCCTCAGTTTTACTGGCTCCATTACTGTGACTGCAGTCAGCTCAGGGGCACGGTGTGGGATTTATTGCTGGGCAAACCAGCACTAACCTCCATGATAATTTGTCCCACTACTGTAGTCCTTTTTCTAGGGAAGCATGCCACATAGAGCAGCTGTTCCCTGCCTACTCCCTTCCTGCTGGCCACATGCCTCAATTTGTAGCAGAGACCTAATATTAACTGTACAATCAGAAGGAATGCTGTTGTTTCCAGATGACTGAGGAAGCATGCAGCATAGTAGCTGCTTCTTTCATGTGACAACTATCTGACACACTTCCTTGAAAGTATGCACCCATCTGTGGTATGTGTGTGTGTACATGCACGCACATATGCGTGCATGCGTATACAGGGGTAACATCTGGTTCTTATTCATTTGGAAATTTAAATAATGTATACCTCTTTTTAAAATAAAACCCAAAGCTTTGCAGTTCACTTCGAACAAATATGATTGCTTCATTTTCAGAAGGGGAATTGTGTTGGGCTATGTTGATAAACTGATCTTTACTGTCATTTCAAAAATGCTGGAGTCACTTGTAGAGTTTGCAATGTGCAAGTATGTATTTTGAGATGTGAATCTGAAAATGATAATCATTTACTAAATGTCAGCTCACTCTCAAATAAAACCACAGATAACTCGCCTAGTGTGAGGGATCCTCTTTTAAAAAGCACAGGATGATGTAGTTTGGTTTTGACACAGAATTTTATACATTCTCTCTCGTTCTCTTACCATAGAAACCAGCAAATATTTGTGGACATTCCTTTAGCATTTGCAGATTAGTAGAAATGAAAATTATTTTGAACACAGGATATGTTGAGCTGAACAACCAGCTCATCGCTTCCTCTTTGGCACAGCTCTGACTTTGTATGAAAAAATGTTTTCTTAGGTAAGCCACATTATCAGTGAGGCAGACTCTATCTCACAGAAAACGAACTTCAGTGCTGCATCTTGATAAAGTAACTATTTTAGCATAAAAAAATCTACATTTTTGTGTGCTGCTTAAACTGTGCTCAAACCTTTAAACTTGATGCACTACTCAAGTAGCATAAAAAGACTATCTAAACAAAGGGTTTGGGGCCAAACTCTCACATGTGTTTAGGCTGCCACTGAAATCAGTATGAGTTTTGTGCTTTAACACCTTTTAGAATCTGTGCCTTAATAACTCTGGTACACTTCAGCTCTCTAGTATAACAGGCTTCTCTCCTCAAATGCACCCCCCCACCTCCCTTCAACTCTTCCCTTAGGAACATCCAAGTTCTTCATATTTGACAATGTCCTTACAGCTTTTTTCTCATAGCTCTGCCACCACATGCCGGTCCCTCCGGTTTCTGAATCAACACACCTCTAGCCATCTCTGCACCTCCCACATTGACCTCTAGACCAGTGGTTCTCAACCTTTTTTGTATCAGGACCCATTTGTAAACATCAATGGCCAGTCCTGATCCAGTACCCCTCACTCCCAACCTTTGTGTGTGGGGCAGGGGGTGGGTGTGTAGGGCAGGGAGGCCCCAAGCAGCCCCTTGCAGGCTGGAACTCTGCCAGCCTGCAAGGGAAAAGCCACAGTTTCCTGCATTTTTCTCTTTTAAAGGAGAATCCATTTTTAAAGTTTGTTTGCAATCATTTCATATATTCTTGCGACGCACTTTTGGGTTGCAACCCGTGGGATGAGAAATGCTGCTCTAGACTACCATTCCCTGCACCCCTGCCATCTCCCACTCATTCTTACCGCCCTCACTTTATCATGTTATGGCTCTACTTAACAACTCCTTACCTACCTTCTCCTTAATTTCCCAAAAGTTCAACTGCTTCCTCCTGCTTCACGAAATCCCCTTTCTCCTGGTGTACCCACATCATCTGAAGCCAGATGGATACCATTCTATCTCATCAACCAATCTTTGTTTCCAACTTACTGAATGCTCTAGTGTCATATCACATGAAGCTAGTAGATAAACTAATTTAAGCACAAGCATGCTGAGAGTAATTTGTAGGTTGGGAACTAGTGGGAATTAGTGAAAACCAGCTTTCTCTACCATCCCAGTTCATAGATCAGGTGTCCACTATACAGACAAGAAGATGATTCTAGTGGCTACAAATCACTGCCACCTTAAATTCAAATATCAGGAAGTTCAGGTATCTGAAACCAACTTCTGGGTGATACTACAGACTAAATGAAATGTGTCAATTTTATCAAAAGTGTCTGGCTTCTGACTCCTTAAAGAAGAAGGAAATGTGTTCAGTGAAGTTAAGGATGACAGGAAAGATAAGCTTAGGTATAGGTGTGAAAGAGCAATCAGATACACAGCTTTTTGTGAAGCAGATCAAATTATGTCCTTCTTAACATATTAGATTCTACCTAATGAATATTATTTCTTAGGGCCATTTGACATTAGAAGTCCCAATCCCAGCTAGTTTCTATCATGTATTTCTTGAACAAAGCCAAGTTAATGGGAAACTATCTACTTACTAAGGATGTAATCTGGAGGGCCAACATAATATCTATGCACCATTTCAGTCCTACTTAAATCCTATTAGCTATATCCCATCAAATATAATATACTCTTGAATTTGGGACACACACACATTTTGAAATCATCAATTTAAGAGAAAAATAAAACATTGAATAAAGTCAATTTACAAGGCTATGGTGCTTATAAGATTTTTTAATAAAATTCTTACTCAAAGGTGTTTTTTAGCAAAATATTCTGTTAGAAGAAAGGATATTTTATAGTCAAAGAAGTACAGAAATTCACAAACAAGAACTTCAGTTTATCCATTTCAGGGAAACTGTTTAGATATCAGTAATTATCATCCTGTCAGGTATCATCTAAACACCAATAAAGATTCTGTTCCTGTTCTGAATACTATACAATCTAAAAACGACACAGACAGACAGAGGAAAGGTAACTAATGTACAAGTAAAGGGCCATATTTTGGCTTTTACATAATTCAGGGACGTCCAACTGGCAGCCCCTGAACTCCAACAGCAACAGCAGCCAGAGTCTCTGGCCTCCTTTCCTTCTTCCAGCTTTTGCTGCCTGTCCCCTCCTACCACGGGACAAGGCAGGGCAGCAAAGTGCAGCATGGCCTGAGGAGCTAAGGGTGAACCTGAGGCCAGATGCACGGGTGCATGGTGCAGCAGGAGGGGATGGGGGGTGTGGTGCAGTGGTGCGCTATGGGGTGGAGGGGTGGGGAACAGGTGTTCATTGCAGGAGGGAGGGGGGTGCATCTGCATGTGATGCAGCCTGCAGAACACTCAGCCCCCAACCACTTAGAAGTTGGACAGCCCTGCCATAAGCCTTAAGTAAGAGGTGCAGTGGCAGAGCAGTTAGAGTATGTTGCAGCTGTAATTCAGAGCCCTGCTCTGGACTCATGATGAAGGCATCTAGTTGTAAATGGGTAGCTGGTCATTTGAGTTGGGGAGCCAAAGGCAGCTAGATGTGATGCTAGTAAATCACTTCCTTGTGGTACCACTGTCTAGAGAACTGGCATGTCTTATCCATATTTCCCCAACAGCCGTTCTGCTTGGGAGGACCTTTGACCATAAACCCTAAGGAAAGGGTGTGTAGCTCTGCACTTAGGAGGGGACCAACTTATGAATTCATCGCAGTATTGGCCCCAGTATTCTGCTATGCTTCCCCCATCTGCAATGGGTCATCTAAGTTAACTTCTTGGTTTAACATCAATGCTATGAGGGGAAAGAATGTCATGGTTCTGCCACTTCCTGTCCTATCCACCTCCTCAGAAGAAAACATAGTGGACCTCCCTGTTAAAGCTG